TTTAAATTTTAAAAATTATAAAAATAGTTTATACCGATTCCCACTTCGCAATGAAAACTTTGAGAGTAATAATTTCCAACTGATGGGTATTTTCAATTTCGTTGTTAGATCTGGGAGTATTATTATTAAACTATTAAATTAAGCATAAGGTAAAACCGTGGTGAGGATTAGTGTACGTCAATAAGACTACAGTATTATGAGTCAAACAAGTAACAAATAAAAATGAACAATTTTATCGTAGGACAAATTTAACAACATAGATAAAAAATTTTCTATTTATAAAAAAAACGTTTTATATAATATAAATTAAATTTTGTATTTTCTAAATACACGCAAAATTAAGAAAAACTCATGTATATATTTACACGTGATTGATATATGATAATCCGTGTATACGTTAAAAAAAACACGGGTAAATACATGGTTTTAAATACACGGGTTCTTGATTTCAAATACATGGTTAACAGAATCCATGTACACGTGTACTTTTAATACCCGTCGGAATAAATTAATATCGTAAGCCTTAGTTATAACAATCATATCAAAAAGAGCTTAAGTCAAAATAAAGTTTAAGTTGTGCATATAAGTGCATGATAAAGAAACTTGTGAGTATACGGCATACCCCTCTAATACAATTCGGCATACAATTCGAAGAGACCCCTCTAACATAGGCGGAAATTCTCCATAATTTTAGAGGGGGCTAATATTTAAAAATACTTTATTGCATATCAAAGCTAAAAAAAAAAAAAAAAATTATATTACCCTATAAATATCATGCAAAACCTATGCGTGATTTATTTTAGATAGATATACTACTATACTATGCATATACTGATATACTCATACATATACTTGAATTTTAACAATGAAAATTCTTTATAATGAAACTAAAAAAAAATTTATTTTAAAATAATGTATCTATTTACTTTTTTGCAAATAAATTTAATATGGCTTCTTTATCAATTTTTTTTAGAAATATTTTTCTCAATACTAATTATAGCTAAATTTTTTAATCTATTCTGTACCATGGATGACCTCAGCCATGTTTTAATCCTTCTCATTGCAGAAAAACTACGTTCACACGTTGACGAACTTATAGGAAGAGTAAGTGCAACTTGTATAAGCTTAGACATGTTAGGGTATATATTTTTGGAAAGTACTGAAGTCAAAGCTTCTAAATTAATACTGCTTTTGCCATTTGATAAGTGTAAGTAGTTCTTCACAACATACATTTCTGATTGAACACTTATACTTTTTACATCCAATAAATCCTAGAAAAAAAACAATTATCTTTAATTAAAAATAGAATAAGAATAATTTATAATAAATAAAATTTTGATCCTACATGTCATTTCATTTATTAATTCAATAATATTAAATTTTAATAGCAAGTTTTTATAATGAAATTACCTTATAATGATTAATAAATAGTTCACTCTTTTTAAAATCTAATTTTATAAAATTGTTTACAGTTTCAGCCATTTGAAGACTTTCAGTTGAAAACCTTTTCTTCAAATTTACAACTATACAATCTAATATTTTAAAATAGCCATTTACACAATTTGTTTCAGTACTATTAAATGATTCTGCAGCAGTAGTAGTTGTTAGAATAAAATCTTCAAAAACATTGGGTTCACGTCTCATTCGCTTAGATGCTAATAATAAACATATTAAATAAGCTTAAAAATAATATTAATTTAAATAAATAAATATTTAAACAAATATTTTTTATTAGGTACACAAACACAATACTGACCTTGAGTTTGAAAAGGTAGGATCACTTTAACATCATTTTCATCACAAAAAGTTTTTATGTCTAACCACAAGTCACTAAAGCCAATGGTAGATCTAGCATTCTTAAAACTTAGTATTACGCTGTTTATTAGATTACCTGCATTACCCAATGTAGTAGTTTTATCTTGAAACATGTTGCTAAGTATATTTATGGAAGATAATACATGTTGCAAAATGAATAGAAAAATAACAAATGATCCTTTTTGCATTATTGAAAGTATACTTATAAAAAAATATTCAAAACATATTAAATTAATCCGGTGCTTATAATTAGACAACAGTATTAATATTTAATTAAAAATGATATAAGTATACCTATAGCTTTATTTACATTTCGGTCCAGTTGGTTATCTATTTCTTCTTGCAAAACTGCAATAATTGCTTAATAATTGTATACAACTGACTCACAGTTTTTCCATCTACAATTCCACCTTGTATCACTCAAAGAATTTATTTTTGATATTTTAACTCCTAATTTTCTTTGCATAGTAACAAGAGTTTTATTTTTAGTAGGATGAGAAAAGTGCTTATACAATGATTCTATTGTATTAAAAATAATTCTAGATTCCTAAAAAATAAAAATGATTTAAAAAAAATAAAAACATTTTAACAAAAATTTTCCCAAAAAGTAAAATATTGTATTGTATTTTATTACCTTTACAATTTTGCACATATCAATAACTACAATGTTCATCTGATGAGCCATGCAATGGGTGTAAATGGCATAGGGAAATTTGTTTTTTACTTTGGATTGAACACCATTAAATTTGCCAGACATGACACTGGCACCGTCATATGATTGTGCCACAATGTGATATTTATCCAATTGGTTCTCAGTAAGGAATTCAAATATTTTAGCACATAATGAATCTGCATTTTGATTTTCTGAAACGTCTACAAAATCCAGAAAACGTTCAACAACATTTAGACCAACAGTGTATCTAACACATACAGACATTTGTTCTTCTTTAAAACATCTAAAATTAAGTATAAATAGTGAATAGTTGGCATTTATTACTATTGAATCATTTATTCTTAAATATTTAAATGTTAGGTAATAGGTACCTTGCTTCATCAATCATAATTCCAAATACTTTATTACATTTTATTTTCTTGGTTATTTTGGACCGAATGCTCTCTGCAGATAAGTTTACCAATTCATCTTGAATTAAATGACTGGTGAAATTAGTCAAGTTGCTATACTTTTCTTCAAATTCAGGGCAATTTTTTGCTAGTAAATCACATGTTTCTTTAAAATTTCCTATTTAATAAAATATGAATACATATATGTATTAAAAATTGTGAACACAATATGGCCTACTATACAAATATGTTCATTGGGGTCTATTATTTAATAAATTAAATATTAAAAATTAATTAATATTAAATATTTAATAATTTGTTTATAGAATAAACAAAAAAAGTCATTACTTGACTTTTTATAGAGATTATATGATAAGTAAATAATTAAATGTTATTGCACAGTAGTTAATAAATAATACTACTCACCTTTATTTGAAGAAAGTTTAGATTCATCATGTCCTCTGAAAGCCAGTCCTTGTTTGCTCAAAAATAAGGTTATTTCAATAAGCGTTTTTATATATTTTCTCTTCTTTTCAACAATCAATTTATGACTTGAAGATAGTTGTTCATGAATGCTACCTGAGGACTTAGTTTTAACATGTTGTTCCCATTTAGTCATGCAAGTCAAATGGTGTTTACAAGTTGAATGTGCTTCATGTTTACTTTGCTTATTGCCTTTTTTCCCTCTTGATCCAGTTAACTAAATAGTCAATTGAGTATATAATACAATATTTTGAACATGTCAGATTATAATACAAAAAGTATATGTACCAACTACTATTGATTATAAATATAGCATTTATAATCAATGCTACTACCTATCATTAAGTTTGTTAAACATACTTTTTTCCAATTTTTAAACCCAGTTAATGTAAACACATCATCTTGTACACTTTTTCCGGTAGAATAATGCCGACAGAAAAAAAAAAAATAGCATCATTCACAATACTATATTCAATCCATTCATATTTTGAATAGTATTTATCGTTAAAACTTCGGTTTTGTGAATCAAAATTAGTTTTTGGATAAGTCTATAGCACAGTTATAAAATAAAAAATGTTGTATTAACTTCAAGTAGATAATCTTATATTATTTGAATTCAATATTTCACAAGTACCTCGGTACAAGTAAAAACTAAAAATACTTACTTTTAGCAATGGACGAACAGGGCCTGTGTCTAAAGTTCCCAAATCACTTATCAATTTATTATGCTGTAAATGTTTATTCTATTGTTTTACCGTGCCTGAATGTACAGTCGAAGATGATTCAAATAATGCAGAATCAATTCTGACTTAGTCAATATCGACGGTCGGAACATTCTTTTTTTTTAAATTAAATATGTCAAATACATTTTTGGACATATTTAAAAAAAATTGAACGAAGTTAAAAAAACGAAACAACACTTAACAGTACATACGATGCAATGGACAATGGTTGAATGGCTAATGAAATAGAAATATCACTGTTGTGTGTTTGGAATTGTCAAATTTTACATTGGTATTTACTATTTCGTCTATTTTTATAACATAATTGACAATTCCAAGAAAATAATGAGATATCGTTGTCTTGAAACCAATCATTATATTCAACTGATATCGTTTATATATAGGTACTAATAAACTAATATACATTGATTCTTAAATATTTATTATGCTGTGCCTCTGTGCTGTATGGACTTAGGCATTTGACAATGAAATCAGAAAATATATCACATCCTATTTTTTTTTTCTATAATATTCTCTAAATGTTTTATTCGCGTTCCAACAATATTTGAATTGAAAGTTAATATTTATTATTATTTATTGCAGTAACCTGCAGTGATCAATTATTTGAGGGGGCTAATTTTTCTATTTGTACGTTTTGAGGGGGCTAAGACCCCTCAAGCCCCCCCCCCAATTTCCGCCTATGCCCTCTAAGACGTGATATGCAATTCGGATAGGCCCATTCGGATGGCATACAATTTGGACATTTTATTTTTTTTTTTTTGGCATGCAATTCGGATGCAGCCTATTAAATAGGTACTGAATACATAAATAAATAAATATTATTTTTTACAAAACAATGCACATGGTTGTGATATCTGTTTGTTCAGCTTGTTGATTTTGCTACTCAATAATCCTTATTGGACTGTTAAAAAAATGTTTGAATTTATCTCGAAAAACAAATCCCTCGAAATAAGCGTACTCGCTCATTCTTGTAAGTGTTATCATATTGGTTAAGATTGGAAGTTAATTGGCATCATTATAATTTTATAATTTCAGTTGATGATTATCGAAAAAGATGGAAGAATATGAAAGATACTTACAACAGATATAGAAGAAATAGAAAATTATAAATGAGATCATCAGTACTGAGAAGACCATCTAAATGGGAATTATTAGATGCACTATCATTTCTTGAAGTAGTTATATATAAACGAGAGTAAGCAACATTTTTTAAATGATTTAAAATAAAAATTGTTATATATTTATTTAATGGAATGAACATTAGTATTCATTATTTTTAAATAATTGTTACGTAGATGGTTGTCCTATATGCAATCCACAAAACCCACAACCCTTAACCCTCAATTCTCATTCAATGAGCATGTTAGTGTAAATTAAAGTAACTTTACTGTTGAAGAAGCAGAAGTTGAAGAATTGAATAATATATCTACTCCATCTACATCACAAAGCTACGTGGATCCCAAAGAAAAGAGAAATATTAATTCAAGATTCGATAAAAGAAAATGCAACACTAAAAAATTGCTAACCAACAAAGAAAAACAAGATAAAGGATGGATTAATATATTAAAAAAGGGAATGACGATCGAAAATTTTTTTTTTTTGAAAACGCATGCCCCGGTGCAATATTTGACTACATTCATATTTTCAAAAATCGTTTTTTAGTATAGAAATATTCAGAAAAAAAATCTCTATTGATAGGTGAAAATTTGTTTATTAAAAAAAAAGGTCTTTATTTTATTTTAAAATGAATTATTAGTGCACCGTCGCGCTGCATAGGAATCGTACTTTTAACTATCACACCACTGTGATAATTTGGAATCAATCTTGTCTAATTGAATATACCCGTTATATTCAGTCTATTTGTAAATATTTTTCATATAATTGAATACTTTCGTTCATTCTATCTTCTTGGATCTATAATAATTTTTTATTTTTTTCTCTTCCTTAATAGATATAAATAATCGTAGATTTGACCATTATATGTTATAAATAGATAAACATTTGTTTTACCTCCAATACACTGGATACTCAGTTTCACGTTTAAATACGAATATAAACTACTTGTGTCTACAAACTATTAGATACTCTTCCCATTAAAAATTATAATATAATTTACATAGCAACAGGGTTTCTAACTTTTTAGTTTATAAAATCGGGAATTTCTAATATGAAAAAATGTACTTCTTGTTTTAATATATCATAAAGTTAATAATAATAATAATAATCTCTGGCATTATATATAATGATATTATAATAAATAATAATAAATAATGGTATAATACACATATATTTGCTCTCTTTATTTATCTTTATTCATAAATTGTGTGATATTTATATTATATATAAAAAATAATAATAGTAATGTAATACTTTAGATTGTATTTTTAATAAAACAATCAGAAATATTAATCATAACTTATTTATTTTTCCAATTGTATTTTTTCTAGCTCTTCACAAGTTTAAAATAGCAGTATAATCTTTTATTATATTTACGAAATCAGTACATAAACTGTTTTAAGGAAACGTTTTATTTAATGATATCATGAATCATTTTAAAACACCAATCTAACTGTAGTTATTTGTTTACTAGAACTTTTAATGAAACGTTATTTGCACAATGTTACACATATGATTTACCGTCATGAGGTATTAAAAAATATTTTTACTCAATGTACAATAACCATACAAATTGTTATGTTTTGATTTCTTAAGCCAAGTATATGAGATTAACCAAGTTTCACGAAAAGTATAAAGGCATTTTACCTTTTTTTTTTTTAATTATAAGTAGTAATATACTCTTCGGAGTGACACATTGTTATATACACGTAAAGAAAACCAATAAAAATTAATACAATTCAAGGATTCACAAAAAAAATATTCATGTAGCTAAATACTATAATAATAGGACGAATTATTACTTATATTAAGCACAAACTATGTCATAACATCACCATAAGCTCCACGTGATTGATTAAGTGTCAATCATCATCATCATCAACAGCTTAAAGGTCCATTGAGGACCTGCGCTGCCACTAGTAAGCCTCTCCATTTTTCTCTGTTCAAAGTCCAGTCCAACGTTGCATCCTCATCTATTAGTCTCATATTCTTTTCTACTGTGTCTTTCCATCTTCTTCTTGGTCTTCCAAGTGGACGTTAATTATTTATTTTTCGTATCAGAACATTCTTTAATAAATCTCCATCCGCTCTCCATACATGTCCTAACCACTCTAGGCGTTTACATCTTATATATGTGGGTATATTTGATTTTCCATACAGGTTATACAGTTCTTCATTGTGACTTTTTTCATATATTCCTAGGTTGTCGTTGTACACTGGTCCATATATATTTTTTAGTATTTTTCTTTCCCATATAGCAAGTTTTTTATTATCATTTTTTGTTGTGGACCAGGTCTCACATCCATAGGTTACTACTGGTCTAAGGTAGCTTGTGTACAAAGTGGTTTTAGACTTTCTTGATAGCAGTTTTGATCTCAATAGTTTGTTTATGCTGAAGTAACACCTATTTCCATTTGATATTCTTTCCTTTATCTCCTTATGCATGTTGTTGCTGTTGTTTATATTAACACCCAAGTATTTGAAATTATCCACCTTTTCGAAATTCATACTTCCCACTTTCAGGTTTGATTGATCTACGTTTCTTCTGGATAGTATCATAAGTTTAGTTTTTTCTTCGTTGATACATAAACCCATGTTTTTGCTGGCTTCTATTAGTTTAGAGAGTGAGTGGGAAATTTCTTCTCGCGTATTCCCTAAAAGAACTATATCATCAGCATATGCTAAGATAGTTTCTTCACCAATAACTTCCATTCTTCTGTCTTCATAAGCTTCTCTAATAACTTTTTCTAGTCCCAAATTGAACAATGTTGGGGATAGGGCATATCCCTGTAGCAATCCAGAATTAACCTCAAAGGCTGGTGATAGTGTCTGAAGAAAACGTACTTTCAGTACAGTCTTGTCATTACACATCTTTACTAAATTTACATATTTTTTCGGAACTTCAAAATGTAACATTGCTATCCATAATTCCTGTCTGTTCACACTATCATAAGCTTGTTTGTAGTCAACAAATATCATATATAAATCCATGTCAAATTCGTAGTATTTCTCCATTGTTTGTCTTAAGGTAAAAATGTGGTCGATAGTGGATTTCCCCTTTATAAAGCCACACTGGTATCTTCCGATGATACCCTCTGCATATGGTGTTATTCTTTCCAAAAGAAGCGTTGACAATATATTGTAACAAGTATCCAATAATGAGATTCCTCTGTAATTTTTTGGGTCTAAAGTGTCTCCTTTTTTAAATATTGGGCATAGTATTGCCGTGTTCCACTCTCCTGGCATTACTTCGGTTTCCCAAATTTCCTTAATCATTTTCCAAATTTCATCTTTAATCGCATTTCCTCCATTTTTTAATAATTTCGCAATTACGTTGTTTTCTCCAGGTGATTTGTTGTTTTTAAGTTTTTTTTATGATGTTATAGATTTCCTGTTTTGTTGGAGTTTTAATATATGGTTCCGCTGTACTATATTGCATAGGTATATCTTCATGTGTTGGTATTGGTGGTGTTTTATTTAGTAATCTTTCGAAATGTTTTTTTAAATTCTTCTGCTACAGATTCTTCTTTTGTTATTAACTCACCTAGTTCATTCCTTAGTATCCTAGTCTGCGGTTTATATCCCTGTTTAATGTTGGCAGTTTTGCTAAAGAATCTTTTGGAGTTATTTTTATTTTCTTCAATTTCCTCAATCTTTGCTTTTTCCGCTAATCTTTTTTCACATCTTAGTACTTTATTGGTTTCTTTTTTAGTATTTTTATATCTTTCCATATTTATGTCACTTGGGTCCTTGATAGTTTTTTTCTCGTATGCGGTTTCTTCTGTCTATTGCTTCCTTGCACCTATCATTAAACCATTCTTTTCTTTTTTCTTGTTTTCTTATTCCTAGGCAATTATTAGCACTATTGACCGCTACTATTGATACTAACCGCCGTCTTGATTCTTCCCCATATCCGTTCTCCATCTTCATCTGCATTACTGTTGGATTTTTGTAATTCTTGTTGAGTTTTATATATGTATTCCTCTAAAACCTTCTTTTCTGACAGTTTTTCTATATCGTATTTTACGGATTTTATATATTTTACCTTTTTCCATCTTTCAGATAATCTAATTTTAAGTTTTGTAATTACCAGGTAATGATCCGAGTCGGCGTCTGTACCTCTATAGCTCCTGACACTTTTTATGCAACCTTTATGCTTATTTTGTATCATAACATGATCAATTTGGTTTTTAGTTATTCTATTAAGTGCTATCCAAGTTTGTTTGTATATATCTTTCCTTGGAAAGTATGTACTACTAAGGGTAAAACCGTTCGTTATACATAAGTTGATCAATCTGGTTCCATTATCGTTACTTACGTCATGTAAGCTATTCGGTCCAATCGTTGGTCTATATACATCTTCCCTTTCTATTTTTGCGTTAAAATCACATATTAATATTTTTATACAGCTATTTGGTGTTGTGTCAAGTATGTGTCCTAGTTCATCATAAAACTCATTCTTAATATTTTCCTCTTTCTCTTCAGTTGGTGCATAAGCGTTTACGATAATGCTATCAAAAATGTGACTTGTGAGTCGGATATAGCATATTCGGTCATTTACTGCCATGAATTCTTCTACTTTTGATAGCGTATCATCGCTTACTACAAAACCCACACCATTTTCATATCTTCCATCCTTTCTTCCGCTATAGAATTTGGTTTTATCATCTTTTTTCATATTTCCGTCATTTGGCCATCTAATTTCTTGTAGAGCTAATATGTTCGTATTATATTTTTTAATAGCGTCCAGTAAATACTGTAACGCTCCAGGTTTGTTTAAGGTCCTAACATTCCATGTACCAATTTTTATTCCATTTTCCAGTTCCGGTCTTTGTCCATTAATCCAATTCCGAAACTTATTTTGTGGTTTCTTAACATGTTTTTTTTTTTCTGATGTAGGGTTGTTAACCCTACGATCAATCCCCAACCTGGAGGACCAGACTACCCCAACCAATTAAGGTCATGGTAGGGCTATTGCAATGTACTAAGGTACATTGGGCGATGGGCGCGCTACTTTCCCTACGCCTGAGATTAAGTGTCAATACCATACATAATTAAACTAAAATAATAACAATATGATAATCACTATTGTATAGTAAATGTATAGATAGAAAATATATGGTTTAAGTACAAACACGGTTTGAAAATATACTTATCTACGTATGTCTTGGTAAGGTACCATTTACTAATAACTGTAACGTTTTAATGTCAGTGTTTTTAAATAAGTGAAAGTTGGACCGCAAACTACAAAACTTTGGATCACCTAGTTTTATACAGTCGTAGTAATATATAAATTAGTAATTGCATTATGTGTCCCATATAAATAAACTTTAATGGGGATGTGGTAAAAATCTAAAAATCGACAATTTCCCGTTGTTGTCAGAATGGTTGAAAACACTGATAGTGGGTTCCATAAATAATTTTTGCCACTGAATCCACGCAGTACATAGTTCTCAGCTCGATGTACGTAGTGCATTATGCAAAAATACATTTTTCATACGTATTATGTAGCCTGTAAAAATTATTAATCGTCAAAAGGACATCTACTAGAAAGTCTTTATCTATTTATTTATTTACTTAACGCCCCTAAAAAGCAATATTACAAAATTATGATACAAGTATTCAAATTGACAATTATAACAAGTTATAACAGTGATTATTAGTGATTAATATATTAGTGGTTACTTATCATTATATTACCGTTATTCGAGTTTAAAGAGCCCTTGTTATTATTATAATTATGTCAATATAATTGAAAAAAAAAATTATGTTTCCCAATTGCACTGATATGGAAATTGAAGGTCACTATGTCTGTAAGACAAAGATATTTTGATAGATATAATTTATGTGTACTGACGAAATTTAGAGTATGTGATAATAAAACACAAGATCGCAATAAACTCACATGACTAACATGAATTATGACGAATTATAAAACACAATTGTACTTTCATGCTAGTAAATAGTAGGTGATACGTACGTAATAAGTTTATTAGTTATGGACTTTCAATAAAGCCAGTAATGAATTTATTTTTATTAAGTTTTTATAGGAGATTAAATTTTCTTTCGACAAAATCAAACCAAAATAATTATGAAGAAACCAGTAACCCCGAAAACTGTAAAATTAGATTCTTATGCGTGGTTTTTAAAAATATATAGAATAAAAGCACTATATATTATAATTAAAAAAAAAAAAATAATGAACTGTGTTTTGATTACTGTATGTCATTAAACAAGTAATCTAATTAAATTTAGTTTAATCAGATTGAATACAAATGAAAATTAACTATAAATATTTTCCATGTAATAACTAAAAGTTTTCTGAATTAATTATCATATTTTATGATTGAAAAATTTACAATAATAAATATATTCAAAGTGAGCAAAACAATCGTTATATTATTTTATAAATTATAAAAGCCATTTAATATTATTTTTAAATATATTTATACTTCTATGATTAATGATATTTATAAAAATATGAAAAAATGTATAATTGTTATTTATAAATTCTCACTATGTGTGGTTAGTCACTAATTAATTGAATATGACATTATGCTAAAACAAATATTAAGATAATTTATAGATATATATAATTTCTTTCAAAAGAAAATAAATTAGTTCATAAAATACAATTTAAAGATGATACAGAATTATACCTTTAGCCATCTTATATGTTTACATTTTAAATAAACAATAATAATTATAATAATACATTTATTATTTTTTATTTATTCTCGTTGAAAAAATGAAATACATAATGTATTACATTTGTTTTATGAATCATATATTATACATTATACAACTATACAAACATCATAATACATCAACTTAATAGTCATCCCGTAGCAGATAAAAGTTTATAATTATTATTTTTTATTAAATAACATTTTGATATAGTTACCTTGAGAGTATAAGACTAATAAGACTATGAGTTTATCAGAGAAATATATTTGATACAATACCTACTTGTGAGTCTTTTTTTTTACTATTACTGAGTAGGTACATTTTAAGCATATAATTGATAAAAATATTTAATTTGCATATGATTTTCAATACAGCCTACATGATTATTGTTTATTATTATTTATTGCAGTTTAAACTTAGAACTTAGAAATGTGGTTGATTTCATCTGTGTTGAATGATAAAAATGCATGACGAATAATGTGCTACGTATTATCAACACATCCAACGTTAATACATGTATAACTTACAATATGATCATGTACAAAAATAACTGTGCATTTTACAAGCGTACGTGTTCTACGTTCTTGTAGTAAAGTTTAAAAATATACATATAACATATTAAAAAATTTCTGCTTATTTCGTTTTGTAAATTATGTGTATTTATGACTTAAGAATTCCATCATAAAAATATTAATTTTTTTTTTTTTAAATAATGCTTGGGCTTATTATAAATTTATTATTTCTCGACGTTATTCTTAATCATATTTTGAAAAAAAAAAAAAAAAGTGCCTACAAATTCTAGCACTCGATAACACCAGAATTAAAACCTTTATTGTAATCTATAACAACTGAAATAATGGACATTCAAAACTTAAATAAAAATGTTCGTGAATTTAAACCGAATTAACATAATTTATTAAAATGTAAAGCCAATATTAATATTATTAAGTCGAAAATATTGAACTAAAATTAGTTATAATATATAGTTTATAAATAATATCTAAAATATAGTAAAAAAAAAAAAACATTTATGAAAGAAAGAAAAAAGTTTTTACTCGTCAAACGACACAAAAACCTTAAAATAGTCATAAAACATCTGACTATCCAGTCAAAATCAACAACAAGATGAATCCATTATGTAAATAACGATTAAGAATAACACGAAGTCGCATTTTCATGTTTTCAACATTTAAAACTATTCTTTGAAATTATATCAGTATAGAAAATTAGTCAATGTATACAAAAATATGTTATGGATGGTACTTTAAAAGTTTTCAATACTATGATTGATCTCCTCTCATGTACACATATTCAGTGTACCAACTTCAACATAAATTAAATTATTAATACATTTATGTATCTCTTTATTTAAATGATACAATGTGTTAATTTATTTTATTCTAAATAATTCCGAATTGATTAATTTTCATAAAAATTCGCAATAAAAATTATATACAAAATATGAATTATCTTATTTTTAAAGAGCTAACTAAATTTCAATCAATAAAACTATTAATTTCTCTAAATTTCAGAAAACCTAACATAATAAAATAATGGCTGTAATATTTTACCTGAAGTTTTAAAAATATCATGAGTAGACACTATTAATAGTGATTATCTTTGTATTAAACGTGTCGTTAGTATAATTTCCAATAAAATGGCATCATTGATCTAGATTGATACTGATTGTATCTAGTTTTTATTAATGTAGATAAGTTATATTTTATATTATCTATATATATTTTTATATATGACGATTATAGTTTATGTAACCAAAGTATCGTAAAACTTAATTTAATATTTTTTATGTTCGTGTGTCTTTATACATACATCATATTTTTTTTCTTTTATCAAAAATATAATATAATAATATCATACTGTAAAGTAAATTTTTGTAAGGCTCGTATTTAGTAAATAAATTGTCAATTATCATATACTTAACATATATAATGTTAGATCATTGATTTTGAAAATAAATTCAATATTAAACGGTTTAAAAGTTACAAATAACAAAGTATCTAGGTATTTTACCTTTTAAGTAATTCATCACTAACCTAAACATTTATTTATATATTCAATATATAGTCTTATTTTACCTAAATGGAATTCCATAAGTTGCAAGGTAATATGATATTATGGTAAATTAACTTAGGTAAATGCGATGCATAAATGAAACGATGATTTCATTATACTCCCTGATAGATCATTATCGTTGATAGATATTAAATTAATATAATTTAGTTTATATAAATCAAAGATTGTTATAAGAATTTTAAAAAAGAAATTAAATTATTGCTATAATACTGTATTAAATACAATATAAAATAAGAACTTTGAAAGAATATATTTTTCTTTTAAAAGTTCTGATTTTATTTTTATCAATTTCTTTTAAAAAGTATAAATAAAATGTAAAACGTACGAAATACCACAATATATAGTATATTAATTATTTTCTTTATAATGTATTATTTCTATATTTAAAAAGCACACAAAAAAAAAAAAATAAAAACATTTAAATTTAAATTTATTTACAACTTATCGGTATATTTAAGTTAAGTTATATAGGTATATATATAAATAAAACAATTGATGTCGAAAAAAATTTCATAAATTTGATTAAGATCTATGAATATTATTAAATTATTGATAACTTAAAATTATTTTTATTATTTATGAATGATATGAGAAATATTTTAAAAATTGTAAATTCTTAATGTTTGCTGTTAACCAAAAATTTCTGCTTAAACTTAATTCACTGTTTCTTCTTAATTATATTGTATTAATATTATGTACTATAACTGTTTTCAATTTTATTAAACGTATATTTCAAATAATAAAAAAAAGAATAAAAATTAATGTTACTTATTTTTTTAAGAGGAAAAAACATCACAAACAAATAAAAAATTTATAAAATGAAAAAAAAAATGTTAAAATGAAATTGATTTATTTCAGCAAACTTTTCACGTACACGGGAAACATGGCACAATATATAATATAAATAACAATATCTTATGAATATAATATATACTTTAGAGATCTATACTTTTTTTAATATAATTAATATAAAATTGGTGCTAAGATTTTATTTTTTTTAATAAATTCGTAAGAAATTTTTATGTTATTGTATAGTAGACTCTTGTAGAATGTTTGTTCTCTTACTTTCTTCAGTCAGTATCTAGTCTTAGATGAATACCATATAATTTAGTTGCTAGTTCGTTTCCTTTTACAATTTCGATCGACTGTTATTAAAACATAAATAACTTAAGAGCTTTTTATTTATTTTTTATTTCTATTTGTATCTTAAAGTTGTTTGATTTATTTTCAGGAAAAAATATAAAATAACATAATACCTACTGCAATTGTCTTAATAATTTAAATAATTCGATCACTAACGCACACCTTGATGTCTATTTAAAATAAAGTTTCAACGATCGGTAACTAAATACTATATATAAAATCAAATTTGTTTACATTAACTTTTAAAAAATTGAGTTGGATTAAATGTGCCTAAAAAAATTATAGAACGCGGGAATTCCCAAAATTCCGACTTTAGTAGCAAACCTGTTGGCAGGTAAGTATCCCGATCATCTCTCTTAAGCACGCTGTATACAAAGAACACTAATTTAAAGAAATTCTGCTCCTGTGCATGTAAAACCCCTATTGAAATGTTATCACTAGAGCTCATGTAAGAGTTACATATTTTTCTGTATACTTTCAATTTATAGCAGATCAAGCTAAAAATCCGTTTCATACAAAAACGAGTTAAAATACAAAAATTAAAAATGCATTTTTTTCGCATATTTTGGCAATTTTAGAAAAAAGTCCACATTTCTTAATTTTCATATGCTTTTTTTGCATATTTCTTAATATTCATGAAATTTTTATGCCTGTGTAATATTTTTTAAACAATTTAAAGTTTTCTTTTATTTTATTTTCGATTATTTAACGTACTAGTCGTCATACCTTACCGTCATTATATCAATTTAATTTAACGGGTCGTATTTATCTTCATAGCACTAAGGTGAACAATAAAATATATATTATTATCGATATTATCGTTAACTAATAGCAATATGGAAAGTGTATTATTAATACTAACATTATATACAATTATACATTAACCAGAATTTCATCGGATGTTAAAAGAAGTTTTTCACGCTACAAAAATATTCATTAAGACAATCGTCGTTCATTTAATATGGAAAATATTAAGAAAGTTCTGATTATTCAATGCAATACATTAACAAGTATGACAGTTACAATCTATGTATATATAAAAAACCTCGTATCACAGTGTTTGTAAACATAGGCCTCCAAAACAGCTTAACCGATTTTAATGAAATTTTGTATTTTGTAATTAGGTACATTTGGCAGGTTTGCGAATAGGTTTTTATCTATTTTTTATACTCCTAAGTGCTATAATTTAATTTGATAATTTTTGACCCGGTCGATAACTGCACAATTGAAAATGAATTATTAAATGATACTATTAAAAAAACTATTTAAAAACTATTAATTTTATTTTTGGTATTAAATGACGGATATTGCATAAATATTAAACAACAAGATCCAGCAACAGGTGCTAAAACAAACAAGAATGTTAGTTTGAAGGATTAATATATGCATATCGGTTAATGATTAAATGCGATCAGGATAACGTTATTCTATGATGTCGTGAGCTTTGTCATCAATTCATGGTCGACATGTATGTAAAGATTAAGTTCGAGTGATTACGATACTTGCGATTCAATCAAAAAAATCTGCATGCGGAAGATTCTCAAAACAATTGTTGACTATCGGTGATGGGAAAGTTACTACAAATAAAACGGGATGCATACAATTACCGACCAATTTCTGCACAATCATTGATTAACAAGATGCTCTTATAGACCAGATATTTCCCAATGTACACAGACAATACACAAATCATGAGTGGCTGGCAGGAAGAGCAATTTTAGCAGCAAGAAATGTGGACGACAACGAATTGAATCTCAAGATACAACATTTGTTACCAGGATACTTGGTGTCATACAAATCTATTTATACAGTTTGCAGTTTCTCTAGAAATAATTTATGTGACAAAAAAACGTTTTTCGGGTCAGCTAGTAATCTATATACTTATTAAATTAATAATAAATAGATATAATTTTTCAAATAACTTTCATTATGTTTTTTTAGATTGAAAAAATTGCAATGCATAAAAATCACTCAAAAAATTTTTTATTTAATAAAAAAACATAAAAAAAAATTTTTTGTATACTTGGTACATTTATTTTCATATTTGATAAACATTTTTTATATATTAAATAAATTGTTTTTGCATATTTAACATTTTTTCATGCATATTTTACAATTTTTTCGTGCATATTTTGCTTTTTTTAGCTCCTATAACTTCCGAGCTCTAGTTTTTACCAAAGTCTTTAATAATGTCCAGCAATAATTTCCATTACCTACACATTGTCTTACATGATTACTACTTAATTATAGATGCAAAACGAGTACAGCGGAAACGGACGGTATAGCGGCGTAATGATGTGGCCCGGATCGGAATTCCAATATCAAGGAAAAACACCAACTTATGTTCAAATATACAACAAGTAATTACTCTATTTTTAAACTTAAAGCAAAACCGGTAATCTAATTAATATTATTAATTACGTTGTGGCTTAACAATTCTCGATATAGTATTTGCAAAGTATGCAAAAATTTAACTAAAAAAACGTACATTTGTATTGCTACATGTATTGCTAACTATTACATAAATATTTTCTGTTTGATGTAACTTTAAAAAAATTTTGCATGAACAACATAAGAAAACAGATCAATATATCTACTTTTAAATAATTATTTATTATAAAAATATTTTCCGATATTTTTTTTTCAAATTTAATAAAATTAAATAAATATTTTAAGTTGCAAGGTGATTTAAAACCAACAACATTTTCTACCAAAACTACTTATCTATTTGTAATTATTTTTTTTGAAATAGTAAAACAAAAAGAAAACGGTATATATTTTGGCGATAAATATTCAAATTTCAATTGTTTACACTTAACTTTGAGTAATTCAAAAATGTAAAAAATGTATTGAATATCAAAGACACTTAGTTTATTATTTTTATAAATTATACTTATTTAAAAGCGTTTAACTTAAAAGTTTTCAATTAGGTAATATTTCAAAATGCTGATTTGGTTAATTTTTTCAATTGGACATTTACATGATATAAAATATCTTGTATTATACGTTTTTTTTATAATAAATAAATAATATAAACAATAAATATTTTAATTGACTTATTTGTATTGCGTACAGGATTTGTAGAAACAATTAATTTTCAAACAAAATTTTTAAATAACAATGCAAAACACACACCTACCTATAATAAAACTGCCTATACTCGATTTATATAAAATTTTCTGTAATATTCAATCGTGTTAATGCTATAAGTACAATGTATTCCTATTACATGATTATTTTCACTCGTAGCACAAACATTTTCTATTTTACTATCGTATTAATGTATTCAATAAAAATTATAAAATTTCTATATTTTATTTATTTTATTTATTTATTAGCATAAACGCCCATGTGGACTCAAGTATAGTAAATAATATTTCTTATCTATAACATTTGTACAATATGAAATCAATATACATAATTCAATATATGATTAGTAATCAATAATTAGTAAAAAACATTTAAATGAATAACGAAATATTATCTACAAAAAGGACTTAAATGACTATAGATATTTTTTAACTACATTAAATAACGGAAAAACAAGGATTAGATGAAAAAAAAATGTTCATATTAATTTAATTTAACAATAATTAAACAAATCAAAATTTTTTAATTGTATATTCTCTGGCTATACGGTGAAGTACATTATTAATACCATAGGATGTGCGATGAAAAAGAAATATTAATACTTTTTTTTTTTTTTTAGTACAATGCCTTGGAATTCTCGTGTGGACAAAATCATGTTATGGATTAAAAATAGTTCTCAACCAGCGAATCTAGTGTTTGCGTATTTTGAAGAACCCGATAAAACTTCTCATATGAAAGGAATCAATTCACCGGATCTAAAAGTTCAAATCTCTAGAGTTGATGCAACAGTCAAGTAATTATGTTTTATATTTGATTTTTAGAAACTAGTTTCACACGTTTAAACATATTTTTTTTAGGATTATTTAATGATAGGATTGAAACTTCTTGTATTCCATACTCTATTACAATGTAACACACTTATACTTTAACAAAAATCACTCCTTCTATATAATTTATAATATATTTTGAATAATTTAAATAATATAATTTCATACATGAAAAGTATATTCAAATGATGCTATTTATAGGTACTTATTAGACAAAATTAAAGAAGAAAATTTAGAAAACAAAATGAATCTGATTATTCTAAGCGATCACGGGATGGATTCAGTCACGAATAATAGAACTATACATTTAGATCAATTAATTTCCAATAAAACCTACGAATCTGTTATTTCAGGACCCAATGGATTCATACTACCAAATCCTGGTAAACATATTAAGAAATAATATTGTTAAGGAATTGAAATTATTGACATTTTTATTTGTCTCAGGTAAATTTGAAGAAATTTATCAAAATCTTACAAGAATTTCCAATAATTTGAGAACATTTAGTGTTTATAAAAAAGATGAACTGCCGGTCCGGTGGCACATGAAGAATACATCCAGATTAAATGGGAAATTGTACATATTAGCGAAACCAGGTTACGCGTTTTGGAACAATTTGTTTGAATATATTCAAAATAGTACAAGTAAGTTTATTTAAATCAAAGGCCCGTTTCACATACGACATTTTCTTCTGTACGAATTTCAACTGACAATAAACACATGAAAGTATCTGTGACTTTCACGCGGGAAGATAAACGGATACGTTTTATTAGTGGTCTACGTGAATTAGCGTACGCCTTCACAAAAGACGATTTTTATTTGTCTGCCACCCGTTGTCAAAGTTACTCGTTATGGCTTTTCGCAATAAAAATACATCGATATTGACTTAGAAATTTTAATCTCTGTTGTGGAATGCAGATCTATATTATGGTTAAATGTCAATATCTTTTAAAGGAGAGAAATAGAACCGAAAAAATGTTTGGGAAGAAGTGAGTATTAATTATGTATACCCAATAAATATGATTGTTACGTCATTTTCTACGTATTCGCAAACGATGATACAAAAGCCACATAGCAATAGTGCATTTAGGATTCATGTTGAAAGCCAACTGAGTTAAAAATGTAAAAATAAAATATAACCAAACGTAGCCGGATCATGGGAAAAATCCGTCATGTGTGAAAACAACGTTCATTCGGAAAAAAATAGTACAAACGAAACCATCGTATGTGAAACTGAATAAATTATAAAAGAAATGTAAAAAACGTATATGTAAAATTAACAGACTTCATTTAAAATTACAAGATATCAGAAATGGTTGGTATAATAAAATTATGAAATCTCTTATTAAAATACACTATAATAATAAATACAAATTATGCCAGTAAATACAATTATGTGCAATAATATTAAGCCTTAATTAAATTATTATTATTTTAAGGCGACTGTGTAGATTTGCCCTCAATCATAATGGGGTTCTAATACAATATTTGGTGCTCGCACTTTAAATCTAAAAAAAAATTAAAAATTGTTTGTAATTTCGCTGGTTTTTCTCATATTGACTATAAGATATAATATATTATAATTTGAACCATGCTGTTAAAATATTTGTCCGGATGACAATGAGTAACATTTTGAGTATTCGAACAATCGAAATGTTGTCACGTATAATTTAATTTTTATCAAAGACAAATATTGTTCTTCGATTGCATTGAACGGACCCCTAGACCAGTTACCAAAATGTATACAGTAATATTGTTTACGTTGTGTCCTTGTATATGAACGATCCACGAATGCGTTGACGTTTCATTTTTACACGTGATACGAAGAAACCGTACACGGTTCGACGTTATGTTACGTTATGGATACCCGAGGGAACGAGTCACCACACCCATTATAAGCGCAATTAGGCGGGCGCAAAGGGGGTTTTTAGCTTCCCTGAGTTCAAATTTAGTGCTCCAGTTATTTTTATTCGGATGTACATAATCTGTAGTAATTGCAGTGAAATACCGTTCAATTTTATTTTCAGCAATTTCAGCACCTCCAATATTAGGGCTTTAGTTATTTATATTAGGGCCATAGCGTCCGTTAAGACGCACTCATGCGCTCTTTCAAGTCGCCAAGTTAGTCGGTGACGTCATGTGGGCATTTTGCTCTTTTCAGGATCGATGACCTTCGAATCGGGCACGCACGGATACGACAACGAGGACCCCAGGATGCGCGCCATGTTCATGGCTTCGGGGCCGGCGTTCCGGAAGAACACCACCGGCCAGCCGTTCGACAACGTGCACGTGTACCCGCTGATCGCAAACGTGCTTGGTCTGAAGGAACCGGCCAGCGGTGTGCGGCCCGACCGGACGATCACCGA